TATTATATTGCCACAGAAGCAACATGGCTGCTTGTGTGTATTTAGTACATCTATTTTACATTTCACGTGGATGAAGAATGACTGAAATATCAGCTACATTAGGCAAAAACTTTGTGTAGCACCAAATCCCCAACTTCTAGAATGGTAACTGGCACATAGTGATAGTTCATTCATTTAGTAGGTTTTTATTGAACAAACAGTTAAATAACCGAAACTAACAATCACATCTATTTTTTTTCAGTGATGACTTTTCTTTTTTTAAAAAATATTTTTTTTAGATATTGGTAGACCTTTATTTATTTTTATGTGGTGCTGAGAATCGAACCCAGTGCCTCACACCTGTTGGGCAAGTGCTCCACCACTGAGCCACAATCACAGCTCTAGTGATGACCCATCTTATGGACTTGTTGCAGAGGTGACGCTGGTGTTTATCTGGTGGTCTGATAAGTTGCTGCCTGCTGTTCCCAGGTCTCCTGTGCCTCTGCACAGATCCAGCCTCGCTCAGTGCAGTTCTGCCCGGAGGAACCTATGTCTCCTTCATTCACAGTACCATTGCAGGCAGCATGGTACTTTCTTAGTTAATATTTGTTGGATGGATGCATAGTGGGCTGTTTTGTGATCGTTCCTAGTTGGTTTCCACGAGGTTGACTGACATTCGAAGGGACAAAGATAAAAGAGACTAAGTGAGCTACCTCAGAAAGCCTTGGGTCGTAGGTAGCAGAGCTGGAACCACAATCTCTGAATCTGTTGCTTTCTTCCTCCCTTGTTCTAGAACGGCCTTTAGAATATTAATGAACATTAGTTTTTCCCCTCTGCACAGTTGAGACCCTCTTTATTTGAGAGTGTGACAGGAAAATGTCCTATGTGCAGGTTTTCCCAAACTGCTATCCTCATCTTCAGTCACTAACTTTGTTAGGTGCTGGTTTGGGTTATTCACAGTGATCCTTTTTTGGTTACTTGTGATGAGAGTCTGATAGATTTTTAGGGGGAAAAACTTTTTTAAAACTAGCTCTTATTCTTTCAAGAAATTTATGTTCTCCTCTCTCCCAAATACTTTAAGAAGTAAATTTGTCAATAGTATAATCTAAGTTATTAAAATAAATTTCATAGCTGTGAGAGGAGTATTCTCAAATATATTCTTTCTTTCTTGTTTGCCTGGTCATCCATCCGTCTGTCTGTCTATCTATCTATCTATCTATCTATCTATCTATCTATCTATCTATCTATTGGCTGGGGATGAACCCAGGCTCTTGCTCATGCAGGGTAAGTGCTCTACCACTGAGCTACATCCGCAGCCCTTGCCTGTTCATTTTGATGTAAAAATTCCAACAGAGTTGAATTGATCAAATGGATATTTCTGGAATAGGCTCAGGAAGCAGTAACCTTCCCTATGATAATAGAAAATGTTGGCCCAATATGTAAGGTTCTCAAATGGCAGCAATATCTGGGTGTGCATCTTGCCAAAGCCACGATCTGGAGCCAAGGTTCTGAGTAATGAAGGATTTCAAAATCTATGAAGCTAATTCTCATTTCTATTTACCCCTTTTATTGAGAAATATAATTCGGTGATTTCAGCAAGATTTCGTCCAGTGTGGGGTTGGTAGGTCAGAGTTTATTCTCTCAGACGGCTCAATTTGAACTTACAGTCATTATCTTACGGATGACTTTAAAGAGTTGGCTGAACAATACTCACAATGCTCTGATTTTGTTGTGAAGTCTCAATAAGAATTGAATTCCTTTTGCCCGCTGTGGACAGTCGCCTGTAGTGTTGGAACTGAGCCACAGGAGGGGACGTACCACGGCTTGTATTGTGGGCCCTCCAGGGTCTAGGCATAGAAATATATGGCGGGGACTTTAAGAGCGGTTTGGGGTGGAAAGAAAGCCTTTTCTCTTTGCAGCCGGTGCCTGCCTCCTCAGCCAGGGCTGGACAGAGCCATTGTGAGTGTGCAGGCTGTTACAAAGCTGGATCCCATCATCCCTGATGCGGCTGTACCCGCCTTTGTTGTCCTGGTGCACAGTGGGGAGAGGCGGGTTTGAGTTTGCCATTGCCATCTGTCCTCTGCTTCCCTTGCTGTTCAGGCTTAGTCACATTTTGTGACTTAGGTTTCTGATTCGTGTGACCTGGGCACTGTAAGAAAGAACTGGAGGTGAGCACTGTTTCAGAGAAAAAAATTATGAAGGAAAAACAAAACAAAACAAAACTCTGCTCATTTTCTAAGATTGTATAAAACGTAAGATGTGAAGCATCAGGATTATTTTCACTCTTTAGTGAGTTGTTTTCTGAATTTTCAAAACTGCTGACATCCTCCCCTTGGGTCACCTTTGTAGAAGTAAGAGGCCAGGACTTGATGCCGTAAGTCAGGTGACTCTCATGGATTAGCCTTTCCTGTCTCTCGTAGGTGGCTTGGCACAGGTATAGTTTTATCTTGTTGAAAACCTTTTGTCCCACTCTGAGCAGGGGGACGGAGCTGCTATCAACAGGACCAGTAGTAGGACTTTCCATGTGATAGGCAGTTTCTGTTGAGGACACCTGAGACCAGGCACAGTGCAGCATTGTTTCTTTTGTTGAATGCATTCTGGGCAGGGCCATGTCAATTAGCCTGGGGTTGGGTTTTCACTATTTTTCCTGTCTGCATTTCAGTTTTGGTAGAACAGATTTCTGTCTGTTCTGCAAGTTTTGCTGATGTGAATTTAATGTGTGTGTATGTGTGTGATTCATACAAATGCTGTCTCCGAGGGTGCATGTTGAGAAGTTGGGGTGGAAGGAGAAGTTGGGGTGGAAGGAGAGCTTATCAGAGAGAAGGCAGGTGACCTGGACTCGCACCCCTGCTTCCTGGCTGTGTGATTGAGGGAAAAAGCATTTTACTTCTCTGGGCATGGTCTTCTTGGAGTGATAGATTGCCATGGTCCCCGCTACCCTGTGCTTTGTGTATTTTGGGATGCTAAGAGGATCAGAAGGGAGGCAGGTGTGGCCAAAGGCCCTGCTGCTGCGGAACCAGTAAGTAACCCCAGGGGGAGCTCTTTTAGTTAGGTGACAGTTGTATGGCCTTGCCAGTGATAGGTTTCAATGTGATCTCTGTGGCAAGTTTGCAAAACTAAAGAAAAAGATTTTTTTTGCACAATTCTAGGCAAAGGGCCCACTTTCAATCCTGAGTTATTAAAATAAATTTAATAACTGGACACTGGAGTTTGAACTTCTAAATTAAGAACTATATTTTGAGTGTCACTTTGCAGAGTGTCAGAAGTATTTTAGGATTTTTTTGTTTTTGGATTTAAAAAAAAAATACCTTCATGAACAGCCATGCTGGGGAAAGGACCCAAGTTTAAATGCAGGATTTGTGTGTTTCATATGTACCTCATACACATAGCCTGAAAATGATTTTACATAATATTTTAAATATTTTTGTGCATGAAACAAAGTTTCATAGTACAGAATTTCCTACTTGTGTGTCTTGTTGGCACTCAAAGTTTCAGATTTTGGAGCCTTTTGGATTTTGGAATTTTTGAATTGATGATGCTTACCCTGGACTGACTTAAGTTAAACCATGCTTCTTCATTTATTAGCTCTTATTATTCAGACAAGAGGCAACCTACAGATGAGGCTAATATGGCATAGATACCCTGTTTTTGTTTTGCATTCCCATACTCTTTAAAAAAAGCCCTTATTTAAAAATCTCAGTTGTACAAGCAATGTATATTAATTGTAGAAAATTTGAACCCAAAAAGAAATACATGTGGCTTCCAGAAGTGTAATTTTGCACACTTTGGTGTCCTTAGTTTATACACAGTTTGTAGAATGAAACTGGGACCCTACTATATAATATAAAACTTGATATCTTTCCTTTTTTCTGGATGTGATCCTTTCATGATGGTTTTTGAAACTGAGGTTTCAAACAAAGGCAGAGATTAATGAAATATTGTGTTTGGCATGCTTATTACAGGGACTGTTTTGACTTACAGAAATAGAATTGTGGACCAGTATCTGAAAATAACATTTGTCCCGTTCCTTCTTGAACAGGCTTTCAATATTTGGCATGTGTAAACATCATAACCATTACTATAATTGACAAACGAAGATTTCTTAATCCATCAGCTCTTGTAATCTATTGCTCACTAATTCCTTTCTCTTATTTGTGTTTCTGTGTCAGCATTGCTGGCTGCAGCACCAGCAAGCATGTCATTTTAACAGTGTACTCCTGGATGCCCTGATTCCTCCAGCTGAAACTATCCAGTGTGGGCAAGGGCACACGTTTGGCAGCAGGATGGTGAAGAGATTCCTTTTCCCAGATTATTGTACATCTGATAATATTTACGATTTAACTTGTTGAGTATTGGTTTCGAAATGAAAAATCATTAGTTTCCCCTTTGGATTATTTAGCCTGTAAAATTTTCTGTTACAACGTCCACACTGCATTGTAAATATATTCTAAATCCTGGACCACATTAGAATTTTTTTTTTTTTTAATGGTCTCCACCATTGTGTCTTTTGGTGGTGTCCTTTGAAGTCCTGAAATGTTTTCATGTTTGATTGAGATTAAATCTGGGTTTCATTTTACTTTTTGAAACATATTGAGCAAGTTAATTTTCTGTTTGAGTTCCTAAGGGGAATGACTCCAGGCCTCTGTGTCCCAAGAATTCCGACTGAGCCTTGCCAGAACATTCCTGTGGTTTTCCATGGGGCAGATCAGTGTGTTCATGAAATGTTAGTTGTAGCTGGTGTTTTCCGTGGTTAATTAAAACATCTGGCTTTTAAATTTTCCACCAACAGAGCATAACTGTGTGGCCAAACCTTTTCAATAATGACTGAATAGTCCGATCCTCCCCTCAGAGTGGCCCGCACGTGTCTTTAGGATACCCTACGCTGTTGCCTCTGTTTGTTAATGATTTTAAACATTTGGAAGGTATTTGAGGCTGTCCTGCCAACTATGTACCCTTGAGAGAGAGAGGGGCAGTTTGTGAATAAGAGTCCTCATGATGGCTTCTGGCTTCTGCCCCTCCAGGTTGGAGCTGCCGTGGGTGAGTCGCGGCGATTGCCTGCCAAGCATGCTGTGGTCGGATCTGCCCAGCCGAGGAGCAGAGACATTGGCCGGATGGAAAATCCATAAAAGAAAGCTCTTCTGAAAAGCTGAGACAGACGAGAACTTCCGCAGACTCAGGTTGGTATGCGATAAGAGAGGCTGGATAAAGTGCATTGGGTTGATAGGGAAGACTGTTTTGCTCCTTCCATAAGCATTTTTGAGACAAGCCCAAATAATGATCCCTAGGACATTCAGTGGCGCACGGGACAGCTTTCTCTGCCGAGTGTGGTGTTTGTTGTCTTCCTTTGTTTCTCTTCCTGTCCTCTCTTCTGTCCCATCATCACTTTCATCCTCCCCTTGTCTCTCAGAGAAGAGAAGAAAGAGCCTCCGTCCAAATATGGAAAAAGCCACAAGCAGGGGTCACCCACCAGGGCCTCAGTGATCGTGGCTTTGTTTTGGAGGGAAAGCCACATCCTCACTCGTGGGCTTGCACTGGTATGTTCAGAAATGTGCGCTCAGTTGTGTTTTCACACTCAGAAAAGTGGGTCATTTCTGTTGGGGTGCTTCTGGCTGTGTGTGACTTGAGAGTTTCCGTGTTATCCACATATACCCACATTTGTTTTCAGCAGTGTGTGCATTTGACATTAAGATAGTCAAAGAGGACAAGAGAAGAGAAATTTCCTGAATCTAATGGGCATTCAAGTAAATGCAGAATAGCCTCACTGTGGACCAGGAGAACCAGATAGCATGGATAGCCCTTGTGTGGCACTAAGGGGGAAGAGATTTCATTTTAGGAAGTGTCTTGTGCAGGCCAGATACTACAGACACCAGGTAACTTGCATAGCAATAATAAGCAGTGAACATGTACCTGCTAGGAAGGAGGGAATCAGTGGTCACTGAGAACCATAAAATGGTGAACATCTGCTGCCTTCTCTTATTAAGTAGCCCAGATTTTCTTTGGGCAGTTACCCTGGCCTCATTTTCAACCTGTGTAGTTAGAGGAGGTGACCCTGCTGACTTTCTCTTAGGCATGTGACATAAATTTGGCCAGCCACAGTCACAATGGCCAGTTTTTTAATTTTGTTTTTTGGTACTAGGGATTGAACCCAGGGATGCTTAGACACTGAGCCACATCACCAGCCCTTTTTTATATTTTATTTAGAGACAGGTTTTTTACTGAGTTGCTTTAGGGCCTTGCTAACTTCCTGAGGCTGGCTTTGAACTCATGATCCTCCTGCCTCAGCCTCCTGAGCCACTGGGATTACAGGTGTGTGCCACTACACCTGGCAGTGGTCAGTTTTTTAAACTGACCAGTACTCTCATCCCAGCAATCTATTGGAAAGAAGTTTTTCCTTCCTGTAAGTTTGTTGAGTGGCAGCTGCTAGTGGTAATTTTTGTGTTTATGTGGGTACAATAGTCAGCTTTTTGTCATTGTTACCAAAATACCTGAAAAAAAAAAAAAAAAACTTAGAGGAGGAAAAGTTTATTTTGGCTCATGGTTTCAGAGTTGTTGACTGGCTTTGTTGCCCTGGGCCTGAGGCGAGGCAGAACATGATGGCAGAAGAGCTTGACTTCTCTGCTCCTCTCCTGGTGGCCCTGAAGCAGATTAGGAGGACCCAGGGAGGCAAGATATGATCCCCAAGGACACACCCCCACTGATCTATCTCCTCCAGTCTTGTCCCACCTGCCTATAGTTATTACCCCAATTTGTTCTTTCAAATTATGAATCTATCAAATAATTAATACACTAATTAGGTTACGGCTCTCACAATCTGATCATTTTGCCTGCTTGTGCAGGAGATTTTGGGGGGACACCTCATATTCAAACCGTAACACTGGGGAAAGACTTTCTGAGAATTAAGTCACCATAGAAAAAATCAGAATAGGGGGTTGGAAGAAAGCAGCTGAGAGGGAGGAACATGTATGCATATATACATAAACAGAGACATGTACATACAAATTTACACATATGCACACAAACACATACACATTTATATACATGCATGCACATGCATACACACATACGTGCATGCATGCGCACACACATGTGCAAACTTTGGTCACCAATTTAGCCTAAAATCAGCATCTCTCATTACTTGCTAGCCTGGGAGGTAACATACATCCAGAGCCTCCTGATTGGCAGTTGTTTCTAGGTTTGGGCTCTCAATACAATGACTGTGGCATTGGCCTTCCTTCAGAGGTGCAGGGTGTGGGGTGCAGGCCAGGAGGTAGCTCACACACCATAGGAGGGTATGTTACTAGAGCCGGAACACAGTTCTGTGGGAGCTGGAGTGGAATTCTGAGTTCTGCTGCATGGTGGAGAGAGTAGCAGAGAGGGCTGTTTACAAAGCAGAAGTGAGATTTAGACTTTAGCAACATTTAAAAAAAAATCCCTTTAATTCAGTTATTTGCTTTTGAATCTAAAAGAAAGGAGGGCTCTCCAGAACCTATAGTTAAAGCAAATTACAGATAAGGAAGATAATTTCAGAGCATCACTAGTAATAGAATCTTGTTATTTACTGTAAATACAATTGTTTCAGGAGCAGCCAAATGAGAGCTTGTCAGAAAGCTGCCCAGAGTTTAACGCCACAGGGTAATAGCAGCCGCCTCACCGAAACCTCAGTTGGATTTCTGTTCCAAGCAGGTTCCAAGTGCATCAGTGAATTTTCAAGATTTATTTTTCTCTTCTGAATGTTAGATTTTATTATCATTGAAATTGATAACATTATTGGCTTATTTAAAAATTCATAGACTTTGTTGTGGGGGAATAGATTATAGGAAAATTGAGCAGAAAGTATAGAGAGTTTCCGTGTTAACTCCTTTGCATGGTTCCCCTATTATTAATATCTGCAATAGTGTGGCACATTAGTTATAATCAATGAGCTGATATTGATATGTTGTAATTAACTAAAGATTATAATTTATTTTAGGTCCTCTCCTTGTGTTGTATATTCTGTGGGCTTTGCAAAATATCATAGCATGTATCCATCATTATAATATCATACAAAAAATAGTTTTAATAACTTAGAATGGAACCACCATTTAATCCAGTTATCCCACTACTCAACATACACCCAAAGGACTTAAAATCATCATACTATAGTGATGTGGCCATATCAATGTGTAAAGCAGCTCAATTCCCAATAGCTAAGCTATGGAACTAACCTATTTTCCTTTCAACAGTTGAATGGATACAGAAAATGTGGTACATATGCATAGTGGAATATTCCTCAGCTATAAAGAAGAACGAAATTGTGGCATTTGCTGGAAAATGGATAGAACTGGAGACTATCATGCTAAAAGAAATAAGCCAATCCCCAAAAACCCAAGGCCAAATGTACTCTATGATATGCAGATGCTCACATACAATAGGGGGGTGGGGCACGGAGAATAGAAATTCACTGGATTAGACAAAGTGGAATGAAGGGAAGGAAGGGGAATGGGAATAGGAAAGAGGGTAGAATACATCAGACATAATTTTCCTTTGGTCATGTATGAACACACTACCAGGGAAACTCCATATCATGTACAACCACAAGAATGGGATCCTAATTAGAATAAGTTATATTCCATGTATGTAGAATATGACAACATACAATCTACTGTCATATATATCTAAAAAGAATAAAAATTTTTTTTAAAAAATTTAAGAAAATAAGTAAAAAGAAATAGTTTTACTGCCATGAAAATCTCCAGTGTTCAGGGGCTGGGGTTGTGGCTCAGTGGTAGAGTGCTCACCTAGCATGTGTGAGGCCCTGGGTTCGATCCTCAGCACCACATAAAAATAAACAAATAAAACAAACGTATTGTGTCCAACTACAATTAAAAAATAAATATTAAAAAAAATTCCAGTGTTCTACCCATTCATCCTTCTCCACCTTCTCCTGAATCCCTGATCTTTTTATCATCTCCAGTTTCCTTTTCCCAGAATGTCATATAGTTGGAATCATATAGTAAGTGGCATTTTCAGATTTGTTTTTCTCACTTAGTGATATTTATTTTAGTTATTTCTATGATGGCTTTTATTAATTGGGTTTTGAATGTTGAACCATCCTTTTGATAGGGATTGCATTGAATCCCTATATTAATATTCATAGTTCTGATTTATGAATATGGGATGCTTCCTGACTGAAGGATATACAAGTCTGGTAGGTTATTTCAGGAATTTTCATTAGTGATGATATGGATTGGATGTCATACAGGGAAAGATAGGTGTCATAAAACTCTTATTTTACTAAATAGAAAAATCTGTTAATTAAAGTGTCCAGGTTTGATGGCATACTGTAATTCCATATGGTTTTTGAACATTTTTCATATTATAATTAGAATTTATCTGAATTTTAAATTCACCTACTGTATTTTCTCTTTGCATGAGTATAGTTCTCACTAGACTACTGTTAAAACATTAGCATGATTATATTAGAAATATGAACACAGCAGATTTATATCTGATCTTCAGCTACAACAGTGTAGAAATTGTAAGTGGCTAAAGATTGAAAAAGGAAGGGTTAAAAATTTATTGCTTTTGCGATGCTTGTATTCTAGTTGACTATTTTCTAGCACAGTGATTATTTTGTTCAGGGCATGGCTTTTATTTTTAATTTGAAAAAAAAATCTTAATTTAGCCTTGGTGGCATTCAGAGACATTTTCCTTCTGTGGCCTGTAGCTATCACTGATTCTTCCATTGGACTTCGGTTGAAAAATCGCCCTGTCAGGGGCTGGGGATGTGGCTCAAGCGGTAGTGCGCTCACCTGGCATGCGTGCGGCCCGGGTTCGATCCTCAGCACCACATTCAAACAAAGATGTTGGGTCCGCCGAAAACTGAAAAATAAATAGTAAAATTCTCTCTCTCTCTTTCTCTCTCTCTCTCTCTCTCTCTCTCAAAAAAAAAAAAAAAAAAAAAGGCAAGCAAACAAACAAAATCGCCCTGTCAGGTTTGGAGCCTGTTCTCAGCAGTTCCATTAGTTCAATCTGTGTCTTCCCAACTGGTCCTTTCTCCAGGGTGGCTTCTCAGCTTCCTGCTTTCTTTGTAATCTTCCCTTTCAACCTGTAGATCAGCTTGATGGGTAGACGTGTTTGTTACCTGGCCCTTTTAGTTTCCTGGGCAGTCATTTACTTTCCATGTCACTTCATAAAA